AATAAAATAAGTCAAGGGCGCAAATATCTGTGTTCAGATTATTATTATCCGAAATACAATATTGTTCCTGTCTTCCTGTTATGTCAAGCGTTCCAATTATGCAATTTCATAGTGTTAGTCTGAATACAATCGTTAATCCACAAATTGCTCCTGTCTTCCTTTGTAAAAAGGTGGATGCTGATGAATGAGATACGCCATAAAACTCAATTGTCATTCTAATTTCACATTACTGCTTCTGAATTGTTTTAATTTTTTTTTGCTCAGAATGGTACTCAATGGTTCCACACTCATACAACTATTTTTGAATGTTTACTTAGGAATACTTTTATTTAACAATAATAATAGTAATGATAACTTTGAGTTTGAGTGTGTTTGTTGATTATACGTTGAGCTATGTATATTATACATCAATAACATTTCTCAGGACATAAAAACTGAAAACAACTAAGAGAGAAATTTCACCTTATCGTGTCTCGAGCAGACAGCTTGTTTTTTGGGCTGAAGTAGATGCACCGTGAGTTATTAAGTTGTTCATTGATCTAATCGTGAGTCATGTTCTTCGCTGTTCACAGTTGATCTGCATACATAATAATGACAATATAATAATGACAGCACTAAAAATTCAAAATTTTAGTGCTGACTTCCTTCATCAGCTGAATACTATTACACACCATCAGTGGTACAATAACAGTGTTATTGCAACGTTCGAGTTTCCAAAAAAAAGGCCACATTGGTTTTTCAGTATATTTGATGATTCAAATATGTTATACTATTTATAATACAATTTATTAGCAGAAGACATGACCACAGTGAGCAGCTCCTTTGAATGTTGGCATAGAAATACTTCATTCGTAACTTTATGATAATATAATAATGATTACATGTGTTATGTTCACCTAAATGTAACTGCATCTGTGCTGATAGAATTCATCAGCACAATATAAATAATGGTTTACAATAATAGACCTATATGCATATGAAAGCTTCCCAAAAAACTAACATTAGTGGGTCAGTATATTTGATGATAAAAAGTTGTAACTGCGTATAGTAAAAGGTACTATTAGCAGAAGAAATGTCCACAGTGAGCAGCTCTGATGGGAGGTCTGATTGAACTGTAACCACCATCACTGTGTTTGCTGCTTCCACAAAAACTCCAGTTTTTTAAATACTGATCAACATCTGATGGTTGTTTTACGTTGACACCATGAACCAACATGTGGATAGTTTGGAAACCCACTTTTGATGGAGACTTGATGTATTTTAAATACTTTTAAGAGAGAAATGAGTGGGAAAAGCCGCCGATCACTGCTGTCCACGGCGCTGAGTAGGTGAGGTTTGGAGGCTCCTCAAACAAAACGCATCGATCATCAGAGCTCTACGTGACCTGAACATGAAGAGAAACTAGTCCGCTATCGGCTCCTCCACCTTCAGCCTCCAGCACCTGATGCACATTTACTTTTTAGTCTTTAATCAGTGGAGAGAAAACACAAGTGACTCGACTTTCAGACTGCACGAGCAGCTCCGGGCTGGGTTGAGTCTCTACGGTTCTCATGGTGCGTTTAAGTGCAGTCCGCTGCTTTCAGCTCTTCATCAGTCTCACTCTCTCTAGTCCTCGACGATACAAACGCACAACAACGGGACGAAATGGCAGAAGTAGCTCCAGCTCCAGCCGCCGCCGCGCCCAAAGCAGCCAAGAAGAAGGTGTCCAAGCCGAAGAAGGTCGGTCCCAGCGTCTCTGACCTCATCGTGAAAACTGTGGCCGCATCCAAGGAGCGGAGCGGCGTGTCTGCTGCCGCCGTCAAGAAGGCTCTGACCGCCGGAGGATACGATGTGGACAAGAACAAGGCCCGCGTCAAGACCGCCATCAAGAGCCTGGTGGCCAAAGGGACTCTGGTCCAGGTCAAGGGGATCGGGGCTTCCGGCTCCTTCAAGATGAGCAAGACCACCGCCGACAAACCGGCAAAGAAAGCCGCTCCTGAAGCCAAGAAGCCCGTGGCGAAGAAACCCGCAGCGGCCAAAAAGCCCAAAGCAGCGGCAGTGAAGAAAGTTGTAGCCGCTAAGAAGTCACCGAAGAAGGCCAAGAAACCCGCAGCGGCCAAGAAGGTGGCCAAGAGCCCCAAGAAGGTAGCAAAGAGCCCCAAAAAGGTGGCCAAGAGCCCTAAGAAGGTGGTGAAAAAGGCCCCTGCAGCCAAGAAAGCTCCAGTGAAGAAGGTCGCTAAGCCCAAAGCCAAGAAAGCAGCACCCAAGAAGAAGTAAACTGATGTGACAAACACTTCTATAAAAGGCTCTTTTAAGAGCCACCCAATCCCTCCTCAAAGAGCTTTTCCTTTATTTATTTTTTCAGACTTTATAGTGTTTTGACATCTTAAAATTATTTTAAATTACTTTATTTAATTGAACTATACAACTGCTAATGGGGAAATTTAGGAAATCCACCATTTTCGAGCATCAGCCAACATGAGCTTCTAAAGACCATTTTATAAGAAAATATGGTGTTACTTATTCAAGGACAACACCTGCAGTTCTTTGATATACGAAAGCGTCCAAATGTTGCTCAGACTCCAGAATTTGGCCCATCGATCATCACTGAACATTTGTTTTAAATGGAGAAAATGTACATTTCAATTGAACATGTATAAGATTGTAAGAATTAGGACAATATCAAGTAAATACTGTTATAATACATTTAAAAAATAAACCCATCAGGAAATAGTTTGTAGACAAGGTGTGAAGCTATTTCAACATGGAGCAGATAAGGCACAAATGGCAAAACACTCCCTCAATTATGTGGAGCAGAAGCCAAGAAGAAGTGAGCTGATATCAGTCTGAAGAACAAACACCTCTATTAAAGGCTCAATCCTTCCTTAAAGAGCTTTTATCCTTTAAAACGTTTAAGTTTTATTCAGCGAGACAATTCTACAAAGAAATCTTGAATAATACATCTACCTTATTCGTCAGACACTCGGTCTTTATTATACAAAAGCATCCAAATGTTGCGTAAAGTAGAAAACATGTTTTTGACTGTCACAGCCTCCGAAAGAGCATCCGGTTATTGAAACCTTTATATTACCCATCTCATGCTACAATCAATTTAAATTCTAAAGGAATATTTTATATTTAATATTTGTATTGAATAAGAGTTGTGGCTCCTTTAAAATGTCAAATCCTTATTTTTCATTCTGTAAACTTGCCTGTTTGTCTTCCTGTTCCCTTTCTCTGAAAGTGAATCCATCTACATCAAGTGTCAAACAAGGTTTAAACGGTTTCATGCTTCAGCTGCAGTAGTGTCCTTTCTACGTGATACAGTAACAGGTTGTGAGGTATTTATTAAATTGTGTGACTTTATTGGGAATATCTTAATAAGTAGGACCACATAATAGACACAGGAGGATCACAGCTCTTTTCGTGTGGGTGGGTGGCTCTTAAAAGAGCCTTTGTGGTAGATGGAGGTCTCCGGCTTTACTTCTTGGCGGGCTTCTCGGTCTTCTTGGGCAGCAGCACCGCCTGGATGTTGGGCAGCACGCCGCCCTGAGCGATGGTCACTCCGCCCAGCAGCTTGTTGAGCTCCTCGTCGTTGCGGACAGCCAGCTGCAGGTGACGCGGGATGATGCGGGTCTTCTTGTTGTCGCGGGCGGCGTTTCCAGCCAGCTCCAGGATCTCAGCGGTCAGGTACTCCAGCACGGCCGCCAGGTAGACGGGGGCTCCTGCGCCGACACGCTGCGCATAGTTCCCTTTGCGCAGATGTCTGTGGACGCGACCGACTGGGAACTGGAGTCCAGCACGAGAGGAGCGGGTCTTTGCCTTCGCTCGGGCCTTTCCACCGGTTTTACCTCTGCCGCTCATTGTTATACTGTTTCAGGGAAGGAAGTGTCTGTGAACGCGTCAAACCCTCCTTTATATGTCCGCGGAGCGGGCGGGACGGTTCCTGACGCGCGCACCAACCAGAGAAGAGGCTCCAGACAGGAAGACAGAGGGCGCGAGCTCACCGTTTTTGGCGGACATTTTTAAATCATTTTCCGCCAATGAGCAGCGGAGACTCGCTCGTAGAGTCGCGGCTGAGCTCCAGGAGGAGTCCTCCACCAATCAGGAGCCGGAGGTCTGAATCAGCGTCACCGCTCCTCAGCCGGTCCACACTTTAAGATCCACGAGTCTCCTCTCAAAGTTCACTTCTCTTAACCAGAGAGCGACTAGTCGATTATGGCACGAACCAAGCAGACCGCTCGTAAATCCACCGGAGGCAAAGCCCCCAGGAAGCAGCTCGCCACCAAGGCTGCCCGTAAGAGCGCCCCGGCCACCGGCGGCGTGAAGAAGCCTCACCGTTACAGGCCTGGCACCGTGGCCCTGAGGGAGATCCGTCGCTACCAGAAGTCCACCGAACTGCTGATTCGCAAGCTGCCCTTCCAGCGTCTGGTGAGAGAAATCGCTCAGGACTTCAAGACCGACCTGCGCTTCCAGAGCTCCGCTGTTATGGCTCTGCAGGAGTCCAGCGAGGCTTACCTGGTGGGCCTGTTCGAGGACACCAACCTGTGCGCCATCCACGCCAAGAGGGTCACCATCATGCCCAAAGACATCCAGCTGGCTCGTCGCATCCGTGGGGAGCGAGCTTGAACCCCCTGATTCTACTCCCAACAACGGCTCTTTTAAGAGCCACCTCACTACCTCTGAAGAACCTATTTCTCTTCTCAGTCAAATATAAATACGCTTTCCTAACTACACATTCCCCACACAACAAAAATGCACTTCTGCTAAAAAAGCTAATAAGTTAAGGGTTTCTGCGGATTTCTTGTCTCCTTTACTGCTGTGCTTTAGAGCACTAGCTCCAGGTGAGTGAAATGTATACTTATTGCACTTTCTTCACCGGTTTAATATCCAGAGACTGAGTGAACATTTATCAATTGAGCATTATCAGATTTCAAGAGTAGAGGTTGTGTTTTGTCATCATGGAACATCTATTCCAGATTAAAATGTGTATTACTGTCCATCTCATTCTCACCGTCCCCTTCACCTTCATCAATTCAATGTTGAGCCATCAAGCAGGCGGACCAGTATCAAAAAAGTCGGACAGAAATCTAAATTTGGCAACACAGTAAAACATTTGAAAGTTGAGGTCTTGATCCCTCTGTCACAATTCAAATATACATAATATATAATCGACTGAGTTTTCACATGTATTTAATTTTGACAATGCTGATGGAGGCCGGCGTCAGCATTGCTTATTCAATTGTTTTACAAGAGTTGCACAATGACATGGATGTTGTAATAATGATTGCGTGCACTGAAATCCTTCCAATAACAGTTTTTCTGTCAAGATACAAGGCACTCTTTCATTTAATGCTTTCAATTGATAAAGTAATATGTGAGGAAAGCAGGCTCAGCCTCTCGGACCATCAGCACCGGTTCCCCCCAAGGCTGCGTTCTTTCCCCTCTGCTTATCTCCCTGTACACCAACAGCTGCACCTCCAGTCACCAGTCCGTCAAGCTCCTGAAGTTTGCGGATGACACCACCCTCATTGGACTAATCTCTGGTGGGGATGAGTCCGCCTACAGGTGGGAGTCTGATCATCTGGTGTCCTGGTGCTGTCAGAACAACCTGGAGCTCAACGCAGTCACTCCCTCTGTGACATCATCGGAATTGTCACTGACCAGAAGATCTGAGCCAGCGGGCGTAACCATGGAGATGATGATGACTATTGTGGATTCCTTCCGTTTCCTGGGCTCCATCATCACCCAGGACCTCAAGTGGGAGCTGAACATCAGCTCCGTCACCAAGAAGGCTCAGCAGAGGTTGTTCTTCCTGAGGCAGCTGAAGATACTCAACCTGCCAAAGACGATGATGGTCCACTTCTACACGGCCATCATCGAGTCCATCCTCTGCTCCTCCATCACCGTCTGGTATGCTGCAGCCACAGCCAAGGACAAGGGCAGGCTGCAGCGTGTCATCCGCTCTGCAGAGAGGGTGATCGGGTGCAATCTGCCGTCCCTGCAGGACATGTTCACTTCCAGGTCTCTGAAGCGAGCTAAAAAGATTGTAGCCGACCCCTCCCACCCCGGACAAAACCTGTTTGTGCCCCTTCCATCTGGCAGGAGGCTGAGGTCCATCAAGACTAAGACCTCCCGCCACACCAACAGTTTCTTCCCATCGGCAGTCGGGCTCATCAACAGAGCCGGTCCCCCACTGACTGACTCTGACATTCCACCGGTCACTCCCTTCATACCCCACATGCACACACACACTTGTCACGTTCTGTTTGCTGGTGCACCTTATTTCTAACTTTTTAAAACTTTATTTTTTAATTGAAATTCCTCTTGCACCACGTTGTCTTGTTATCATTGTCTTATTGTGTGTTGTGCACCAACCACCAAGTCAAATTCCTTGCATGTCTGATATAATTTGGTAATAAATGTTCCTGATTCCTGATAATATGAACCATATAGTTTGAGATTAAATTCCTCTCTACTGCCAGTCATTGACTTGAGCTTATTTGAATTTACGTTAAATAGACTGTTTTCAGCAGATGGAACAAAGCTGACGCCAAGTGGAGCTGATTGGCTGTTGCCCTGCGGACACGTAGTAACTATTCACTGTGTAATATCATTAATTACTATTTACTGTGTAACATCGTTGACTACTATTACTATAAGACATGCCAAAAATCTCAGATATTATTAAATGTTCTGTCTGTCCTTTAGCGATTGAAGTACAACAATTAGCAGATGTTGTCGACTAGTTACGTTAACGTGTGAGGTTAATAAAAAAGGGTTGGTTTTACGATGGTGTCTCTTGAGGTTCATCAGTTAAGTCTGTGCAGAGCTGAGCCTTGTGCAACACGACATACAACACAACAAATTATCACTCAAAATAAAGATGAATTATAACAAGTGTGTAAATGAAGTAGGAAATCATAACATTTTCATAGTGTGTGTAAAATACAAGGGACCATCTCAACCTAGGTGTCCACTCTTGCCAAGCATTAATATGAATGAGTAAATGCATTTTTTGATTATACAAACCCTACAGGGAAGGAAAACTAAGCTTAACAAACCAAGGTAGTGGGAAATTTGTATCAATGGACCGAATATCTTTTGTGGGGTTTTTTAATGATGTTTTACGGCGATCGTCAACTGCAAATGCAGCTCTGCCCCTCTAAATTGAGGGGAAGAGCTGTCAACTGATCACCGTCTGGTGGTGAGTCAGGTGAGACCTGGTAAACTCTTCGGCCATCTGCACAAACATTTAATAACTGGGTACATTCTAGATCCAAACCGAAGGGTTTGGTTACATTGGTCAAATTATTCATATGTGTCTAGTTCTGAAAACTAAAAACAATTTATCGTTTCAAGTTCTGAGATTCGTTAGCTTGTCTGGCACTATAGTTGTTGAAAGCAGACTGTGTTGCTGAAATAAAAAATCATCAAACTAAAAACTTATAACCCAGAAAACTAAGCCCTTAACTATGAAATCAAAAAATGTAATTTAATTAAATTAGTTAAAAAATAAGAATTTACATTCAAACTAAACAATAAAATCAATAAACTGAAAACATTAAACATTAAAAAAAAAGAAAAAGTTGATGCTGTCACTCCCTCTGTGACATCATCGGAATTGTCACTGACCAGAAGATCTGAGCCAGCGGGCGTAACCATGGAGATGATGATGTCAATGACATCAAAGCCATCTGATTGCCTGGCAGATCTGAGCCAGCAGGCGTAACCATGGAGATGATGATGTCGATGACATCAACGCCATCTGATTGGCTGGCACAGAGCTCACATCTTTCTAAGGTACAAGGTAACAGTCAGTTGGAGACCAGACAGCAAGAGATAAGGCTGCACTAGAGAGGCACTCCACACCAAATTGAAATACAATGGTCAAACTGGAGAAAAGTACTAAAGAAATGCCCCAGACTTCTACAGGGAGAGCATTTTTAACTGCAATGGCTTTTTGGAAGAAGCCTCGTGCCAACAAAAAGGAAGATGAGCCAGGACCTTCCAAGCCAAGGGTGAGAAGTCTGCAGGAAGAGATTGCCATGGATAAACAGAAAGAAATCGCCATATCTGAGCAGCAGCAGATGGCCATGGCTGAACAGACCATCAAGAGTCAGGGGTCAGAAATCTCTGGTCTGAAGGAGAGTCTCAAGGAAATGTTTAAAGATCATGAGGCAAACATTCCGCTTCTGGTTAGTAAGGAGCTTGAGGTCCACTTCGCAGAGAAGACAGCCAAACACTTCCAGGACCAGACAAAATGTAAGGAAGAGTACGAGATTCTCATGGGAGAACACAAGAACCTGCTTATTGCCCTCCACGCTGAGCAGGCCAAGACAAAGCAGCTGGAGGAAGATAAGAAGATCCTGGAGCAAAAAAATAGGGTTCTAGCGGCGGAAAACGTGGTTCTTGATGAGGCAAAGATGCTCCTGGGCCAGGAAAAGAGGGTTCTGGAGGGAGAAAAAATGGTCCTGGCCCAGGAAAAATGGGCTCTGGAGGAAGAAAAGATTGTCCTGGGGCAGGAAAAATGGGTTCTGGAGGAAGAAAAGATTGTCCTGGAGCAGGAAAAGATGGTCCTGGAGCAGGAAAAGATGGTCCTGGAGGAGGATAAGCACCTTCTGGTCGAGGATCAGAGGCTCCTGGAGGATATTTGCCTCCGAATGAAGAAAAGAATCCTAGGATTCTTTGGGAGGAGGATGGAAGACAGAGCCACAGAGATGGCAAAGATGAGGAGGAAGACTTCTGGCGGTGGATTTTTCCACAGGCCCTTCAAGAGGTAGTTTCTCTGCCTCTGTTTTTCTCCCGGTACTCGGGTTTTTAAAAAAAGATGGTGAGAAGGAGGAGGTGGTGGTAAGAGGTGGTGGTAGCGGGTAGACGGAGTATCTGCCTCTATGTGTTTTTTTCTCCCGGTGCTCGGGTTTTTTTTAAAAAGTGGTGGAGGAGACAGGGAGTGGGTTTGGCGTCAGGAGGTAGACGCCCTTGTGTTTCTCTATATGGTTTTCTCCCGGTGCTCGGGTTTTTAAAAAAAGATGGTGAGAAGGAGGAGGTGGTGGTAGGAGGTGGTGGTAGGAGGTAGACTTCTATGTGTTTTTTTCTCCCGGTGCTCGGGTTTTTTTATAAAAATGGTGGAGGAGACAGGGAGTGGGTTTGGCGTCAGGAGGTAGACGCCCTTGTGTTCCTCTGAGTGGTTTTCTTCCGGTGCTCGGGTTTTTAAAAAAAGATGGTGAGAAGGAGGAGGTGGTGGTAGGAGGTAGACCTCTATGTGTTTTTTTCTCCCGGTGCTCGGGTTTTCTTATAAAAATGGTGGAGGAGACAGGGAGTGGGTTTGGCGTCAGGAGGTAGACGCCCTTGTGTTCCTCTGAGTGGTTTTCTCCCTGTGATCGGGTTTAAAAAAAAAGAAAAGGCTGTCGTGAAGTGGAAAACATTAAATGAACGATGTCTGATCTGGTGCATATGTGTGTGATAAAACTCCTGGACTTGACCAATATCTATGTTGTAAATGGTTGTCTGAATGAAGGTCTACATGTTGTGGAGCATCTGGTTGTACATGCTACCAAATACAAAGTGTGCTTTAAAGAGTTCGTCAAAAGCTCCTAGGGTACTGGTTGACTTGCAAAGTATGACCT